TCGCCCCTTTTTGCCCCCAAGCCAAACCTATCTAAACCTGACGGAGCCAGAGTACAGACGACGAGACATACTGTCTGTCTGCGTCTCTACTGACTAGAGATTTTTGAAAAACTAAAAAGTTTTACTACCAAAATATAGGAAATTTTATCTAGATCATTTTCACAATTATCTGAATTTTTCTAGCTTTTTTCTTTTTTAAGATATAAGGGTTTTTTTAGCTACGCCAGCCATCGCGCACAGACAGACAGACACTCTAACTGCCTGCGTCTCTTCTGGTTAGAGTTTTGAAAAACTAAGGCGGTTTTACTACCAAATGAAGTGTTGTATAGATTATTTTTGCAGTTGACAATTATTTTCTAGCTTTTCTCGTTTTTAAGATATAAGCATTTTCCTGATAATGCTCTCCGCGAGCCAGAGAGACAGACACTCTAACTGTCTGCGTCTTTCACTACTCACTTCTGTGTATTTTTCATATTTGACATCATCCTGTGTAAAATTTTATGCTGAACATTTTTGCAGTTGAGTACTTTTTTCCAGCTTTTCTCGTTTTTAAGATACATCAGACTTTCTGGAAAAATTGAAATCTTCAATTTTTCGACTTTTCAGAATATGTCCACCACCTCCTACTCGAGCAGCCACATCTACAAACCTGAAGATCAAAAGAAGAAGAAGAAAAATAAGCTGAGCAATGAAAGGAAAAGAGAAGAGGTACGAGATAGTATGGAAAAACAAGAGAGTGCGCAGACAGCTAGAGTGTCTAACTGTCTGCGTCTTCTTACAAATTAAGACTTGGCTCAGTAAGAGTACTGTAACTTTTTCTAGAGATGAACAATAAAAATTTTTTCAACTACAAAAATAAACTACATGAAATTTCCAACATTTTGATAGAGAAATTGTTCGAAAGTTCTTGAACTTTGAAAAATTGAAAATTCTGAAAAGTTGATTATTTAATTTTTATAAGACTAGGAATTTTTCGATACTAATTCGAAGTTTCCTAACTTTTCCAGTCATCTTGTGGCCTAGAAAACCAAAGTCCCACCATTGTGGCCTAACATTTCAACTAGATGGCCTAGGAAATGCAAAAACAGTCTCTGGCCTAACTTTCCAAAATCAATGGCCTAGGAACCCGGATTTCGTGGCCTATCGTTTTATCTAGTTCTCATGTGGCCTAGAAATCCAAACTGTCCAATTTTCACAATCTCAGTACTCTAGAAATCCAAATGATACTGATGACCTAACTTTCGAATATCGTCTGGCCTAGAATTTCAAATCTCGTGGCATCAAGATTTTGGGTTTCTAGGCCACCAGGTCGTTTTCTAGGGCAACGATTGGACAACTACGTAGCCTAGAAATCCAAGAAAATAATATGGTGGCCTAGAAAACTCCGACTTGAAAAGCGAGTTTAACCATATTACGATTTCTATGCCATGCATTTTGAAGTTAGCCCACCGACAGTGACTTCTAGGTCATCATGGTAAGATGACCAAGAAATGGCCTAACATGCTCCTGGTGTGTATTTTAGGTTTAGTTAGAATGGTGGACCCACATGCGACGAACCGCCGCCCATTGAGAAGCTGAAAATTGAAAAAAATAATATTTTTAAATTTAAAAAGTAGGTTTTTATGAAGATTTTTGCTCGAAGATTCAATTTTTTTTGTTTTTTATGTGCTAAATTGTATTTTTTTGACTTGTTTTCTATTAAAAATCCCTTTTCGGAGTCTAAAAACTCTGAAAATTTCAGAAATTCATGAAAAAGAAAAGAAAAATGGAAACGCGCTCCGTCGAACGCGTCGCGGTCGAACCGCTCCGCAGTCACGGGGTGTTCTGCTGGCCAGTCGGCGCCACGTCATTTAGCCGGTTCCCCGTCGAATTTCGTCCGATTTCACTCATTTTTCTGCGAATTTTGGGTTTTCAGACTTTTCANAATCAAATTTCCCATCTAAAACTCTTCATTCCAACGTTTTCCCCTCGAAAAATGACCCACAAACGACTATTTTTG